TTTGACAAAATTTTATACAATCTTAGAATCTAATTGTTATAATATAGTCTTACCTATATGCTCGATATCGAGCTGCTTCATTGCTTTAGTCATCAAAGATGCATTATCTGTTGAAGCTCCAAAGAGTTTATTATATATACCCCACTGGTCAAAAAGTTGTCAGCAGAAATCTTCAATCTGATCACCTGTATGAGGGCAATCGAACTTTTGGATTGTAAGAAGAGCTTGGTATAAAGTAAATTCAGGACCAATCCAATGAATAGTTACTGCAATATAAAGTTGATGAAAATGAGACCACAGATCCGTCGTAAAGCAAAAGGAATCTATCATTGTTTGTAATAGATTTTTAAGTTGTTGCTTAGCAAAAAGCACTGATTGCATTAATTTTTCTTTTAACTGATCAATGCACAGAAACATAAATCTTGGTTCGCATTCAAGAATCATATCTCAAAAGCAACTATTAGTGGTAGTATAAAATGATTGGAGATCGTCTACAACCCAAGCTAAAATATGATTTGTAATTTTATCACGTTTTGAAGATAGTAAGAGTGTTTTTTTATTTAAAAAGTCATGCAATGATGATTGATTTGAAGCTATATTAACTAATTGGTTATTTTTATTATTTGTTTACGAGGGCAAAATTCTATGAACTTGGCGTAAATAAGATTTTAAGTTTCCTGTTCCAGTTGATAACTTATATTCTTGACCACAGGTACCTTCATTACCATCTTCATTTGTTGTTTGAACTTGGCAATATTTTTTTTTTTAACTTTATTTCATTTAAAATAATACCATACTTAACTTTTACTAGGTCTTAATTTTTTGTTGTATAAAAGCTTTTTTTTTTTGAATTCTTTTACCCAGACTATTAGTAATAACAGTAATGCTATTATTTTGTGATGTGGATTGTTCAGGTGAGCTTGAGTTTGATTTAATGTCTGGGTCATTTGGATTCTCTGATATATCTAACACATTTGATTCATTTGACAAAGCTATAATATCATTGTCATAAGAATCAAGCTGATATTGATCGTGTATTGACATTTTGATACTAAAAAATTTG